AAACAAATCAAGATCAATGGAATAAAAGAACATCTAAAGCAGAAGTGCAAATGTTTTAATGGCTGAACATCTCAAACTGAACATTTCATGGCTGAATATCTTATGGACTGCCCTCCATCGTAGAATTTCATGTGCAATGTGTTTTTTAGTTGCATGATGTTTTTTGGGCTTTCAGTTCTATGAGAATGTGACCAAATACAGAGGAAATGTGTGTAAACATCTGATTTCAAAGATATTGATGAATAAATCTTTGACTACTTCTTTCTGCCATTATTGTGGCATTTATCAAATAGATATCATTTTTGTAATTCTAATTCTCAGACAGGTTTTTGATCTGATTTACCTTCAGACAGTAGCTGCATTTCCATTACAAATCTGTGCAAAACTATGTCAATATCTTGCTAATGTCAGGCAAACAACTTCACAATCGCGTTGTTCCCATTAAATAAGAAACAGTTAAAATCCCATGTGATGAACCACTTTGTGCATCATCATCCACCAACCACTTCCTGTCGTCGTCTTCTTCGTGGTTTCCACCAGTAGTAACATCCGGTTGTTGATCATGTGATGCGAAAAAAATATTTCCATTACAGTTTTGTGAAATAAAACAATTTTGATCCAGCCACAAACCCCCACTTAATTCTAGCACCAAAACCTTTTATTAAGAAAACAAGATTATTTTTTAATTAGTGTTTCTATTAAACTAATCTAATTTAGAAATATCAAATTATGTAGTTATATGGTCAGTGAAAAGGCAGATCATGAGAGGGAAAAAAGCACAATCTTTTTATTGATGTTTTGTCACAGATTTCTCATCTAATTTACATTTTCTTTCAACAGCATTGCCTTTGTGGAGTTTAAAAACAAAGCCATCGCTGAGGAAATGCTGAAGAAAAAACAAAAAGCTCAGATTAAAGGCCGGAACCTGATCATAGATCGTGTACAACAAAGAGAGGCTGACAAATCCAAAGCCAGCGGTAAAAAAACGAAGGGTAAGAAGACCTCATCATCAAATAAAGTCTGTTAGCTGCCTGACATTTTCAAAAATGATTAAAGAGATCCTCTTAATTCCAACAGCCGCAGCTCCTCCAAATAACATCTTATTCGTAACTCGTTTGCCTGAAAAAGCAAAAGAAATCCACCTGAAATCCGCCTTTAAAAAAGCTGTTAGTGTGAGGATTCTCACACGGCCAGGAGTCACTGCAGGGAAAGATGAAGGAAAACGGTAACCCGACGCTCAATCCACTCTATGGGACGGATTCCCTTCAGGACCCTCACCAAGCATTTGTGACTCTCTGCAGGTTTGCCTTTGTCGAGTTTGCAACTGTGGCCCATGCTGAAAAAGCGCTGCAGGGGGCCAAAACCGTCAAGCTCTGCAACCAGAAGGTCAAAGTTGAAAGGGGTCGCATTGGTGTGAAGCCTGTGAAAGCTGAAGGTACTTTAAGATTTATTCATCAGTTGAATGTGCCATGCTCTCTAGAAGCGTGTAAGTGAGCGGTTTTGTGTTTAGGTCAGCAGAAAACCCTGTTTGTTGCCGGCCTGGCTGAGATGACGACCGCAGAAACTCTTCAGAGCGCTTTCGACGGAGCCATCAGTGCAAGAGTCGCCGTTGATAAGAAGACCGGAACTTCAAAACGGTTGGTGTCGCGTGGTTTTATCAGTGGATCGTGTTGGCTTTTTATTAAAAAAAAAAAATACATCTTTTTCTGATTACTCTGCTTTTTACTATTTTACTATTTTTCCTCCAGGTTTGGATTTGTGGAATTTGACAGTGAAGAAAACTGTAAAGCTGCCAAAGACGGCATGGAAGACTGTGAGATCGACGGCAGTAGAGTCACTGTAATTTACGCCGCACCTAGGGGTGAAAGTTCATCTGGACTTGCTGAGGGGGCGTCGCCTGGCACACACAGCAGGAAACACAAAGGTACACGGGACAGCATCACTGTGAACCCAACACAGAAGGGCTGGAACTAAACGTTGTTTTACTAATCGATTTATTCTGGTAATTTTATTGGCTAAAACACAACAACAGCATTCCTTCATTTGTAACAAAGGAAGCGTCTGCAGTAAAACTAATCCTTCCAACATCAAAATGTGAAAAGCTCAGGCCTTTCTGCTGGACTGATCTGGTGATTCATTCTTTGGTTAACAGATTAATAATTGGACAGCAAAAGGTGCTTCATAAGAGTTTTTGTTTTTACAGAATTTGAACCTAAAAATATGCGATGATCTTTAAATTGGACAAAAGTTTTTGTCCAATTTTATTTCTGAGCTGAACCCAAGCTTCTTTATCAGTTCAGTAAAGAAGTTTTGTCTGGCCTCATTTTTTTAGAGACCAAACAAAGTGTAAAAATTATTATTTTTTTAAATGTGTTCTTTAAAGAAGAAGATGATCTGCTTGTCTTTTCTTTCTTTAGGTAAATGATGTGGATGTGGAACGTCACACCAAGTTGCTGAAGAAGTGAAAACTACAATTTAACTTCTGGAAGACTTTTCTGCTGCTGTTTCTTTGTTTCAGTTTTTAACACCTTTAAGCTTCTTTCAGTACAACTGTAACATATTTTTAAACGGATGTTGTAGTTAGAAGTCATGTTTTGGATTGTAAAACATTCACTATTCATTTATTAAAAGTTTGCCAATAAAAACATTGTCAGATGATGTTTTCTACCGTTGATAAGCGTATTTAAAACCCAACCTGGTGTTTTTGGTGTTTGTTAAATATTAAAAGGTCCTGCATGTAGTAGATACAGTCTCCTAAAGAAGCAATGACCTTCATGTCCTTTTGACTATTTAAGTACAAATAATTGATTATTTTCTAATACATTTTATTATTATTAGCTTCTAGAATATTCATGAATAGCAGCTCAAGGGTGCTTCTCCATGTTTGGTTCTGGTTCTGGAGATGCAGAGCAAAACCAGAATCAGAAAACCTGAGAGATCTGGAAGGTTAATATAACAGCAGATGTTTAATGTGTTGTGGTGTTAAACTCTTCAGTGATTTATAAACTAGCAGTATTTTCAAGTGTAATGACTCTAGAACTGGGTGTTGTACTTGATCTTCATGGTTTTAAGTTTCAGCTGCAGCTGTCTGACTGTTTTTTTGGGGGGGTGGGCTTTTTGTTTTTTTTGGTTTGTTTTGATAAATTATTTTTGAAAGCTGCCAAACAGGCAACAAATTAACCAGATGTTAATTAAATGAGGAAAAAAAAAAAAACCTTGTTAGGTAGGTGGTACATGATGTCTGATTTACCAGATGCACAGTGAGATTGTTTAGCAGGTCTGATAGCATTTGTATTCCATCTTTCCTTGCTTTTATCAAAGTCACATTGCAGCATATCCATGAACACAAACTGCACTAGGCATGTCTGCTCATGACTGCCACTGACGACGTGTCATCAGATCATCCAAGGTAATCATTAGGTAGTGATATAAGTCAAATGTTTGACACCCATATTTGGATATATCCCAATTTGACCATTCCATTCTTTTTTTTTTTTTTTTTTTTTTTTTTTTAAATTAATACGAAACAGTGCCAGGTGACATCTATAGGTCAGAAGAAGAACAATCAATTTAACTTTGTCTTTATTACCTCTGATATTTATTATTAATATTTATCTAATATTTATTTATTTAATATTTATTTATTACCTCCTACCAGTTAGCTCAACCAACTGCAGATGCTACATCTTTTTTTAAGCGACAGAAGATTTGTTTCATCTGCTGTGACAGACCCAGTTGCCAGGGCCTTTCAGGAGATCCCTGTGAACTTTCCCATAGAGCTGGTGCCAACTTCACCTCTGAGCTTGAGCAAGAGCACAAGGGTCATGTGAGACACCTTAAAAGACTTTGCTCGACTGAAAATTCATTTCTTTTCTACTTTGTTTTTTTTTTTTTTTTTTTTTTTTTTTTTTTTTTCCTGTTGGCCTTATTGAGGCCAACAGGAAATACTGCTGGTATGACATTCTTGTAAATTTCTTTAACATTCTATTGCTGGATTCTTTCAAAATGAGGCAAAGCTTCACCTACTGAGCAACTTTCAGAAAATTCAAAATACGCCTTGATGCAGACCATCAGAACTCGACTCTGTCACCTTTCACTGGGACTCTCTGACCTAGTTGGAGGTCTTTGTTACTTTCCTCTTTCCAAAAGCTTCATTTACAGCAACTTTTTCATATGTCCACCTGCAGGATTTAGTGGAGGACACTTGTAGAAACAAGGTACAAACTCTGAAGCATGAGACAAAATATCAATACTTGGTTGGACCTCCTGTTGCATGAATTCCTGCATTGACGCACCGTGGTGTAGAGGCGATCATCTGCCTTCTTGGTTTCTGGCATCTCTTGTCTTCTTCTTGACAACAGCCCGTAGATTTTCTCAGATATATGATGGTCACTGAAGCAGCTTTTGGCATTTTTGACAATAGACTTCAGAAAACCCAGAGGACACAACATCATCAATGACATGGCACCCCAAACCGTCACTCACTATAGAAACTTTACACTGGACTTTCTGTGTCTCTCCACTCTTCCTCCACACTCGACCTCGATTTGTAAATGAAATGCAGAATTTACTTTCATATAGGACTCTGGACCATTGTGCAACAGTCCAGTTTCTTTTCTCCTTAGCCGAAGTAAGACATCGTCTCTGGTTCTGGAGTGGCTTTACGCGGGAAAGGAACTTTTGTGTCTAGTATTTCACATGTCTGTGGTGGCTCCTATGGAATGGATTTGGCTTGACAGTCCGTTCCAAGCTGCGGTACTCCCTGTTTTTGGTGCAAAGAAGTGGGTTTCCCCACTTCTTAACTTCCGCTCTGTTTTCTGTTAAAATGGTTGCACACAGAACTTTATGAGCATCCTCCTCCTTCAGCAATGACCTTTTGTGGCTTATCCTTCTTGTGAAGGGTGTCAGGTGTCAAGTCAGCAGTCTTCACTATGATTGTGTCTTTCTGACCTAGAGTGAAAGGTAGCTTGGGAAACCTCTGGCTTTTGTGTTTTTAGTTAAAGCTGTTTGGGATGTGACAGCAGGAGTTTCCATTAATGAGTTTTTTAACATCATTCAAATTTTTTGAGACACAGAATTTTGGGTTTTCATTGTCTCTATGCGATAATCATTAAAACTGGAATATATCACTTAATTTTCTGAAAGTGCAAGAAATATTGCACTTTTACGCAGAATTAATTTCTTATGTATTAGTAGTACTTGCAAAATACCAGTATTGTTTTGCATTGGGTAAAGAAGCAGCCACATAATGGGGAGGTTGTTGGACTAAATGTCCAGTCGGTTTGCCGTAGTTTCCCCGAGTCTTGAATGTGTCCACTGAATACCTGCTGCGTGGACACATGGACATGCCGCTGCCGTGCAACGATTTGTTTAAACTTCCAGAAACTCAACCCTAAAAAACACACACACACACACACACACACACACACACACACACACACGGTGTCCCCCGTGATGACTTCACATCCTGTTTCCCCCACTTCCTTCTGAAAGATCGGCGTGGTCTGGGACCTTCCTGTCTCCACGCACCGTGTGCCGCGACCGCACGCTGTCAGATCTGCGGGTCCGCGGAGTTTTTCCAAAGCGACGATCCGGACTCACAAGCATGCAGCAGCTGATTTGTTGACAAAGAAAGGAGGCGTCGGTAAGTCTCCACCGCGAGTGGAAACGTTTTTAGTTAAATTCTGGAATTTAAGGTGTTGTAGACTATTGGTAAAAAAATTAAAAAGAAAAGAAAAAAAAATCACATTCTAACTTTATCTGAAACTTGAAACTTGAATGATTTTCTGTAATCCATGGTACAAAATCTATGCAATGTTCTTGCTTTGATTGTGCAAGAGCTTTTCTTATGGGATCGACAACCTGACTGAAAATAAACAAAGTATTCTGCTATTTACTTTTTTATGTCTGCATCGTCTGCGTTCTGCGTTGGAGTCCACTTACTTGGCCTTTCAGATATTTGCAGTAATCCTCTAATCTGAGTTCCTATCGCAGCTGAACTCTTGGCTCTGTGTGAATGGGTTTATGTCAGCTCAGCATTCTTGCATTCTTTCCTCTGAGCTGAAGTGTTTCGTTTGTGACAGCCACGCTGTAGTGATTTTTGTCAACATACCCCCATCCTTTCCCTCCCTTCCCCAGTGCATGGGTGCATCTTCCCCTCAGCAAGGTGCCGTGATGTTGGGTCTGTAGAGTGTTGCTTAATATTAGAGAATAAAGAGTTACGTGTAGCTTTTATCTTCTACCTAATCTGCAAAGTAGAGGTGGGCGGATCAATCAAAAAATATTGATAATATCATTAGTAATATGGTATCAATGTATACAAAACACTTTTTAGTTTTTATTGGTGAAAAATACTGAATACCAGCAGCCACATAAACACTGATTAAATTACAATGGGTTTGTGGTTATGAAGAGACAAATTGTGAATAGTTTCACGTGATGCATTAACACTCTGCAGGGCGCTGTGAAGGATCTGAACTGGGTCATTCTGAGTGCTTCAAAGAGCCGGGCTGCCGGTGGATCAGACGTTATTGTTGGTAAAGCTGTTACAGAGTGTGAACATGTGTACATGGTGCCAAGGTTCAGACGTATTACAACCTATATTCCACTGGATCGCTGGTTAACACCACGGCAGTCACATTGCACAACAGTGTCAATAAAAGTTTAAGAGAGGTTGTCGTCATGGAGATCCAGATAATGTAAAGTCACAGGTTTTTCCACAGAACAGGATCCATCTGGTCACACAGTTCTTGTTTTGGTAGAATGTTGGAGGATTTTGAAGTCAAACTGACCTGAGTGTCTTAATATTTTTTCTGCTTAGCCTCCAAGTCTTAGAGACTCTTTCTTTCATGCTGTGTTTCCTATCTGTGAGGGACATAGTGATTTATTTGCTCCCCTTCCTTCTGTTTATGTCTTCCAACGACTCATAGTTAATGTCTGACTGACATCATCTTTATTCAAGTTTTGTTGCTAAAGTTTTTAACCATTTAAGTCCTAAACGTAGCGGTAACGATCCAGCCATATTTGTAGTACCCTGATTCTGCTACACTTTGCACTAGCTGAAAAAAACCAACGGTTTCTGAAAGGGGAGGTGTTGCCCTTTCCAGCCAATATTGGTTTATTATGGTAACTTCATTCCCGCCATAGCAGGGAGTGAGCTTAATCTGAGGAGCGCTCTTTTAATAGATGGTAAATTGCGAAAATAACTTGCTAGATATCAGAAGTACCAGTTGTTATGAATGAATGGGCAAAAACATTTACTCGCTGGACATTTAAAAAGCTGCGTACAATTAAAATAAGCAAAAGTATCCAGGCTGAGATTTTAAATTTATGACATAAATGAGGCATATTTCTGAAGTATTAGGAGACTTCTTCATGTTAAAGGGGAGTTTTCCTTTCTGCTGCTCAGTGTCAGGTATTGCTGCAAAGCCAAAGACACAAGTTGGCATTTTACAAAATATAAATTGAACTTCACAGCATATTTTAATAACTAGAATTTGAAGTGTATGTAAATGACTTTGAATCAATCTACATGATTGAATTATGACTCATGTTGTGAATTGGCTCTCCATAAATGAAGTGAATTGAATTAAATGTAATCTATTTTATGCTCTTGGTAAGAGATTATGTTTTAATGATAATTAGAGAAAGTTAAAATTTTGTCTCTGTAATGAATAAAATTGATTCATCCTCACATATTTATATTTCCTTTGCAGATGTTAGGCTGACAAAATGAAGACAAGAGAAGATGTAAAAATAATCAACCAGGGTCTGGAGGATGAGATGGTAAATACAACTGTTTTGTTTATTGTTCAGACAATATTCCTGTGTTATAGTAAAGTTAGAAATTGTGACAATATATTTGACTCCAGATATCTGTAAACTCCATTATTCTTAGATTATTTTTAAGTTTATCAAATAGAAATAATGTTGCTAATCCTAACTGATCTAAAACAAGGGAAGAGTTAAGTTTGATTTAGTGTCAGATCTTTCTTTATTCAATATCTGATTTCAACTGTGTATTATTATGAATACATGATTGAGGTTCAGGTTCAATTGAGACACATTATTTGCTGTCAGTGAAAACATTGATAACCTTTATTTTGTTACTTATAAAGTTTCTACGATTTGTGATTTCATAAACCTCAGTCCCATCTGAAGATACAAACCTGTAAAACTGTTCCTTGGCCATTTCTTCACAACGTTAAAGCACAGATACAGTGAACTGTTCACTGTTCATCTATATGTAACTGCTGGGATTCCTGCTTAAATATTTGTCAACCAAGATGGTGATTGGTGTTTTTCTTCTGTTGTCATTAAAAATACAATATGAATGAAATGAAAAAATATCCCCAATTTAAATGCTCATAATAATATTACAATACCTGCCATAGTGTTATTCACTTGTACATAAAAATATATATATATCATAGAAACTTGATATTTTTTGGTTGTTCACATAACACTTCTTTTAAAAACACGGTGGTGCATTTGGCTGTGAAGCATTTCAGCAGAAACGTGTGTGTGTGCGCGTGTGTGTGTGCAGGAAGTCAGCGGCTACCGGCCCTGTCTGTGGAAGCTGGTCCTGGTTGGGGTGGGTGCGGTTTGCTCTGGGGGTCTCCTCCTGCTGCTGCTCTACTGGCTGCCAGAGTGGGGCGTCAAGGGGACATGCACACACACGTCTCTGAGCGATGCACACACCCTGCTTCTCAGAACCAAGGTGCAAAACAAAACCAACATTAAGCAATGAACTTTGATAATTTATTTATGACCTGTTTGCACTTGTTTTCATACGAGCAAAACATGGGAAGAGTTGAAAACACCTGATTTGTGTATATTCTGCATGTTGATTAATTTGAAGAGCAAATGTTAAAGCTCTAATATGTAACTTTTATTAATTAAAATATATTTTTTTACATATTTGTTGAAACTGTCACCAGGTCATGAGAGGACAGTATGAGACAGATAATCTGTGAAAAAATCAAGCTCCTCTGCCCCTCTCTACCACTACAGCTAGCACAGCGTATCATGAATCCCAAGTTAGCATAGTCACCAATTAAGGCGAATAAACAGCTTTGCTGTTGTTTCTCCGCCATTAGCACATTTAGTGGCACATACATGAGGATTATTGACAGTGCTAAGCCCCTCCTTCTGGCTCTGATTGGTTGTTTAGTCCTGGAGCGGTGCATTTCTTCAGACGGCAATAATAATTCAGGTTGGAGGTGAACAAGATCGAACTTTTCAGATTATCTGTCTCATAGCTAACTGTCACAACATGGTGACAGTTTTATCAAATATGTAATAAACTTTTTTTTTTTTTTAAATAAAAGTTACAACATACTGCAGCTTTGAGAAATGTCTTTTCTGGGTGAACTTTGAAGGACGAGTTCAGGCAGTGGTTTCGAGTCAGAGTCCACAGAATGCTGGCTCCAGGCAGGAAGCCCTTCGAGGATCTGGATGTAAAACCCAGAGGTCAGCTCCCAAATGGAGACTTCGGTCATCAGGTCTGCTCTGTTCCCGATGAACAGCTTCCCCAGGAGCAGCAGGTTTGGGTACATTACATTACATGTGTTTTTACTTATATGGACTTTATTATTGTGGAACATAATGACAAAGCATTCGGCCTCGGGTCACCTCAGTCTCCTTTCCCCCTTAGATACAATACTTCACACACCACAGCTTTAGATACTACTGGAATGATGCCATCCAGAACTTTGAATTCTATCAGTAAGTGGTCCCCACTGCCATTTCACCTATATTGCCTTATATTGAGATAATAAACCACTAACATGAACTAAATTTCTACTTATGGAGTGATAGCACAACTTGTCTACAGTTGCATACAGTTGAGCCCATAATTACAGTTCTGCTGAAATTGTTTAATATTAAATATTGTGTTGAAAAATAAAGTTAAATATTATCATGTTTCAAGGACACAAATTCAGACACCAAAGCTGTTCTTGAAGTTTCTGGAGAGCCTTTCTCTCTTCTCCATCAGGATGATTTGGTCAGATGTTATCCTTTCAGCCTCTTACAAGGGTTCTTTTGACAGCTGGACTGAGAAATAGTTCATATAATAAGCTCAGGAGGCGACCAGTTCCACCAGGTGTTTGCTAATTGCTGCTGGCTAGTCTGAAGGAGCTGAGTGGAGGAGTCGTGGGGAGGAGAGGTGCTCTGTGAGGCGCTAGGTTTTAGCAAACGTTTTGCAAACCTGAATAGTTGCCAGGGGAGATTAAAGGATTTCTCAAACATGCATGAAAGAATCAAAGCAACACTCTAGGCATGTTTTTTTATTATGAGATAATAACTTTATAACATGATGTGAAGCTCAAAAAAGTCATCTTTACTTAATACTTTCCTTTTAAGGGCGACACATCATGCTTCATTTTAAACAAGTTAGGATATGATTACAGGCTGTACAATTTAGGATCGTTACATTTTTTGTATCATTCTCATAAAGTGAGATTTCACCTCCTCATCCTGCTTATTATGAACTCGTCTCAGAATGAACTGTTTTAGGTCTCTATCACTTTTATGCAAATGACCACGACCCTCAACCCAATATTTGCACTTGTCTTTTCCAGCAGCCATTGTACAATGATAAAACCAGCTGACCAGCTTAGTTTGGGTTGCTAGGTAACATATATATCAGTGCCTGCCAATTGTGACGCCACAATTGAGAGGTTTTAAAAACGGCTCATTTTCCAGACAACAAAAACACATGAACTTATACCCAGAAAATGATTGGATGTTTTTTTTTCTTCTTTTTTTTTGCTACTAAAAGCAGTACAGAACCAAATGAAGGTACAAAAACATTCAAAAACAATAGGTTCCCTTTAAGTGAATTAACAGGTTCACTAGCATGAACTGAAGTCATTAATGTACCCCTCTGAGATCAATATGGTTATGAAACGATAATTTACCATCTAACCATTTCTTCTTTCATCCTGTGGAAGAGGTTTGGTGAAATGTAGCATCTTAAATGTTACTCTGTGAAGAACAATGAGGCTCTTTCTGGTCTCTTCTCTAATCCAACATACTGGGTCACAATTTTTGATCCAAAGTTTGGTTCAGACAGCACACATCCAGGTTTTGGTTTGAAGAAGACAGCCAGCGTGTTTTAGTGTGTAGCTGATGTGGATCTGTGCATGGTTTATACATGAGGCCCCTGAAGTTGTTATGAGTGGAAGAGCTGTCCACACGACAATAGAAGATAAAACTCTGTGCTCCTCTAGAGGCCTGGAGGATATGAAGGTGAGCTGTGCCCACATCCACTCCGAACACAGCCATGGGCTGACCAAAGCACTGCAGGACTACAGGTACCTCTCTGCATTAGAGTTTTGTTTTATTTTTTAATTTTTGTTGAAAAAGATGTCAATTCACGCAAATTTACTGGTGACAAAGTACAAAAAAAAAAATCTCAAACATTCTTTCAGGAGGTTGTTTTTCGGGGAGAATGAGATCGCTGTGAAAGTCCCCTCTCTGTTCAAGCTTCTCATTAAGGAGGTGAGTGTGTTAAACCTGCGCCTCTTCCTTTAACACTCCAACTTTAATTAACTCTGCTTCCAACATTTCCAGAAGGTTTTTATTTCTCTGTTATTTCCCACCAGGTGCTGAATCCTTTCTACGTCTTCCAGCTCTTCAGTGTTGTTCTGTGGAGCATCGAAGACTACTACTATTACGCCACAGCCATCGTTTTCATGTCAGTCATATCCATAGCTACTTCATTGTACACCATTAGGAAGGTGAGGCATAGACGAGTGAATGCTGACCGGAGAAGAATATGTTCAGTTTGTTTGTCTTTTCTAGATTTCTACACATAATGTTTGTCATTAGAATACTGATAGTCATGTGACCATTTCCTTTTTTTTTTTTTAATTGCCGAGTAAATCTCCCTTCTGACTGTTCTGCAGCAATACGTGATGCTGCACGACATGGTGGCGTCTCACAGCGTGGTGCGAGTGTCGGTGTGCAGAGGAGACAAAGGCATGTTTGACGTTCTGCCGCACGTCGCTGCTGGAGTGCCTGCTCTCCTCGCTCACTGTTGTGTCCGTCTCAGACACAGAACAGGCCATGTCGACGGAGCTCGTGCCCGGTGATGTCATCGCCATCCCGGCCAATGGGATGGTGATGCCGTGTGACGCCGTGCTTTTCCAGGGGACCTGCGTTGTGAACGAGAGCATGCTGACAGGTGTGGATGCTTGCTGGGCTTCAGGTTCTTTTAAGTTTTAAAGGTGCAGTATGTAACTTTTATTTAAAAAAAGAGTTTTGCAGAGTTACATTTACTCAGTTACATTTACTTAAGTAGGTTTGTAAAATAAATGTACTTTTAGGGGCATTTTTAGTAAATACGTTTTTTTTGTTTTGTTTTTTTTTACTTTTACTTGAGTAATTTTATCATGAAGCATTTTTACTCTTACTTGAGTAAAATTTCTGGATTCTCTATCCACTGAATGAAAACACAAACATGTTTTAACCAAAAAATTCACTGGACACAGACACACCTGCAGCTTTTATTAAAGTTTCATAAGTTTTATATGAAAATAAATAGATTTAGCAAAAATGTTCCTTATGAATGATTTTCTTATTTCCTATTTATGCTATTTTTATGAGTTATTTTCATTCTGGTCTTTAAAATACCAAAATGTCCACAAAACTTTATATTTTGGTTCGTCTGATGATGTCAATTTTAAATGTTAAATGATTGATGCTTTGATTAGTTCAGTCGCCTTTTCACCAAATACTTTTTTACTCTAACTTGAGTAATTTCTTGGATGGTTACTTTTTACTTTTACTTGAGTGAAAACATGTTGAAGTAGTGCTTTTCTTACTTGAGTACAGTTTTTGATACTCTACCCAGCTCTGGAAATGAGACAGATATGACTGAGCGAGCATGATGTCAAACTCAAAAAGTCAATTTTACATAATTCTGCCCCTTTAAAATCTTCATTTTGACATGATTGTTCACTAGACTCTAGTGCAGAAACAACTACAAACGCCACACCAGCAAAAGGTAAGTTCGAATTTATTTGTGACCAGCAGGGGGGGGGGGGGGGGGAAGGGGGGGTGGGGGTGCAGCAGGCGCGGGGGAAGGG